AATAATACGACTCAAATCTCTATCCACGAAGTGACTGCTTCCAGCAATTCCTCTGATGTTGATAAAATAGGTGAAGAAGTCTTACGCAGTGAAGATGCTATTGCATCTAAATCTTTACAAGAGGTGAGCAATGGTCGAGGTTCCGACCATGAATACGATCTTGAAGATCCCTTCGATAACAGCAAAGATGACTCATGGAGTGAGGATGCTAATGCGCCTAAAGATGATGATGAATTCTATGGATTTTCTGACGATGATGATGAAGGATATTATTATGATTTAAATACTGGTGAAACTTATACAAAATCGGATCGTCGTTATTCAATCAGCACCTATTAATAGGATAAAACCTCATTTATGGAATAACTGGGAAGCTAGCACATCCGTGTTAAAGATGATCTGCATCCGAGGTTTTTATATAAGCCTTGCTAGCTCCGCTATTGATTTTAAGCATATGTCTTAGTGTAACCTAATTTTTACCACATAGACTAGAAATACGTTTTAATATTAAATATTTTTTTGTTGATGATGAACTTCACTAAGAATAAACATTTCGGCATAAGAATACTAACTTATTTTTAAACTTCATAATCATTTGTGGGTCAATGCGTTAATCCCCTAAGCGATCCATTCACTCTTAATCTGTAAAATGATTTACATGATTATCTTCGATTACGCAATGCAACGTCGAAACTGAAGAATAAATGCTATTAATAATCAAGGAAATGCTATTAATACCTGATTACGTTTTCTATCAAATTTAAAGATCATTCTGGCATCTTCTCTACCTCTACGTGAAATAAATGATGATCGAAACATAACCCTATAAAAGGTATGTCTGTCCTTACAAATAATAAAGCATCACATTAAAATTAATCTTTTTCAAAAGTGAATCCATCAAGCTTAGCCACACACCCACGATTATTATTCTAATCGAATTTTCTTCGCATAAATGCAACCATTTAATATTTCAGAAAATATGCCTTTATGATTGTAACCGCTTCTTTGTTTTTTGCCGTTACAAAGATGTTTCCCGAAAATATCCATTTATATGTGGGGTTCATCGCCATATGGTTCTTTTTGTATAATGACAGACAAAAAAATCGTCGATGAAAACAAACTCTCGTGAAACCAAGATCAACACTACTATCGCTGAACAAATCGGCAAGATCAGAACCGAAATTAATAACGATCTTACCACAAAAATGAGTTCCCGTGATGCTAACTATG